AGTTCATTTAAATGAATTTTGTGAAAAATATAAAAAGCAATGATGATCGTGTGTGATGTTTAAAAATAGCTCATCATTTTTATCTGCATCTCGAACTCAACTACATGGAAATCCGAGGACTACGGATTATAAGAAAACAAAATCGAAATTACTACAGTACTATTTTTTGTCAAAAGATTTTCCTTAATATTGAATGGGAAATACAAAAGAAGCTAAATCTAATTTACTATTTGCTCCGGCATCCACTTGAATCATTCGTTCTCTAAACTCAACAAGACATTTTCCTAATATACACCATTAATACAGTTAAAAACCCCACAAATACAGTAATTGAAAAGCCTATATATTATAACGCGTATTATTTGCTGGCTTAGTCAAATTTTATTTGTAATGAAATCACGAGAGAGAAAACGTGAAAACATACAAAATGAACTATTCAACTACTCTTTTTTCCAAAATCAACTCATCAGTTCTGGAAGGTGAACTTTGTTATATATGTGACATGTTAAAGCTCGTGTTTTACATTACAAGTTTTCAATGGGTTAATCAACGTATGATCAGGTATCACGAATTGAGTATATACGCATTGTATTGAGCCGCATAATAACATCTGCAAATTCATATAGTTTGATGATACAAAAATGTATTAATATATAGTAAATTTAGACTAACATTTAGTCAACCGTCTGGTAAGTTTACGCATTGAATAGCTAATAACCAGCTGAAGTTATTGACTCTGGAATGATTTATATATCTGTGTACCAATAAAATAATACATTCGCCTAAATGAAAAAAAATGTCCAAGAGCAGTAAATTGTTCATACACATATAAAGTAAACATTTATTTTAAAATTTCAGCTGTGACTGGTTAGTATTTATAAAGTAAACATTTCTTTTTAAATTTCACCTACTCTATATTTCACAAAAATGTTACCAATCAAATTGAATACTATTTTTTATGTTTACTTGCAGATACTATTGAACTAGATGATAACCCGCGCGCATGCGCGGAGTAAAATTTGTATACTAATATTTATTCATTAAATGGTTTTTAACATTTTGCAATACTACTGTATTTATCGATTATAAGATGATGAACACAAATGTTGGTATCTTAAATCATCATAGGTCTGGACGTTTGAGACTTCGTCGGTTTTGGTTTGATTGAGACGTATTTTCAGATTTTGGTATTATTCTCATAAATCCTAATTGAATTTTACTAATTATCGGATTGGATTTGATTTGGTCTTCTCAATTCAGTTTGGATTGGATTGTAACCAATATCTGAATTCATCCCAAAAAATATTTTTAAACATTAAAAGTTGACAAAAAAATTTAAAAAATTTGAAATTAGTTAAATTATCTAAACAAACTAAAAGATATTAAAAAAAAGCAAATAAAACAAACTACAAAAATCTTTCGAATACTACAATTTGTATCTACTAACCTCAAACATTTTCACTGAAATTGTTAACTTAACATATTTATAATATGAATATCTACTAATGATACTTCATATTCGTACGATTTATGATAATTTGTATCTTGTTTGGAAAAAAAAGAAGTTAAACCATTGATCATAAAATTTTCAATGTGGGATTTTACTATATTTAGTTATTTATGGTCGTTTTAAAAAATTAAAAATATAATCTATAAGAAAAATTTTAATTTTTATTATATATTTAATGTGATTGTTTAATTTATTTTAATAATTTAAAATTAAACAAAAAAGAGAGAGGACACAAAAATATGTATTATTCATAATTATTAATTACATATATATGTTAATCATATTAGGTAATTCCGTAGCTTTTATTTAAGGAAAGAAAATATATTGTTTTATACCAACCAAAGTAGGTCCCTTAAAAAATGTCTATATATTATAGTCCTAAATGCAAGAAATTAAATGTTACATTATTCATTCCTAGCAAAGTTGGTCCATTAAAAAATTAAGGCTGAGAAGCTCTGTGAGCTTGACACGTAAGCATGCTCTCCAAGGTTGTGCATTTATGAATGCTTCAGGATTAATATATAAGGGATAAGAGAAATTCTGTTGTAAAAAAAAAAAAAAGAGAGAGAAATTCGCACTCATTTTTACTCTAAATTTTATCAGGTAATTTCATTTACTGCACATTCATTTTCTCTCTTATATTCTCACCATTTATTCTGGTCTCTATCTCATCATTTTTTACTTCATTTTATTGTTAAGTTACCTATCACATTCTATTTTTTTTTACCCTGTTAGATTTGCTTTTTTCACAACATAATAATACATAGTTTTTACTCAATTTTTTTTGTTTTGGATGATAAATGCTTTAAAAAAGAGAGAGAGAGAGAGAGAGAGAGAGAGACTAGTGAATATTGAAAAAAAAAGAGTAGTGAATAGGTTGAGTCGGTCACTCACGGTGCATGGTCACTCTCTCTGCACGTTCTCATACCCTCTTCTCTCTCTCTCTCTCATTATCTCTTCCTATTAAAGACTCTAACCAGTCCTGTAGAGAGAGCTGAGAAAGAGACAGAGAGTCAGAGTTTGTACGAAAGCCTTTAGCTAAGCAATGGACGTCTATGGCTTATCTTCACCAGACTTACTTCGAGTCGATGACCTTCTTGATTTCTCCAACGAAGACATCTTCTCCGCCTCTTCTTCCACTTCCACCAACGCTACTTCCTCGTCCTCTTTCCCTCCTCCTCATAACCCTAACTTCCACCATCATCATTACCCTTCCTCCGCTGATCATTCCTTCCTCCACGACATATGCGTTCCCGTATGCTCTTCACTATTCATTTTGACTGTCGATTTTTTTTTTTTAAAATACGTACTTTATTAATTCAAGTAAAAATTAAAAGCTTGATTAGAACAAAATTATTCTGTCTCGAATATTTTTACGTATCAGTGTTATAAAAAAAAGAACAAAATTATTCTAATTCAACTGTTTATATTTATAAACAGTTCCAAAATTTCCTTGTGTATTAATGTTTGTGTGTTTTGTGTTATGTGCAGAGTGACGATGCTGCTCACCTTGAATGGCTCTCGCAGTTCGTCGACGACTCCTTTACTGACTTTCCAGCGAACCCATTGGGAGGAACCATGACATCCGTCAAAACTGAGACCTCATTTCCCGGGAAACCAAGAAGCAAACGATCAAGAGTTCCAGCTGCTTACGCTGGAACATGGGCACCTATGTCCGAACCCGACCAGCAGGTTCATGTCCCCGGGAAAATCAAGCCAAAGAAAGAACAGTCCAGCGGAGGAGGAGGAGGAAGAAATTATCATCAGTCCACAACGGAGGAAGGAGGGATGAGGAGATGCACTCACTGTGCTTCGGAGAAGACGCCGCAGTGGAGGACAGGACCACTCGGGCCCAAGACTCTTTGTAACGCATGTGGAGTCCGGTTTAAATCCGGTAGGCTTGTACCGGAATACAGACCGGCTTCGAGTCCAACATTCGTGTTGACTCAGCATTCCAACTCTCACAGGAAAGTGATGGAGCTTCGAAGGCAGAAGGAGGTTATGAGACAACCACAGCATGTCCAACTTCACCACCACCACCATCACCATCCGCCTTTTTAGTCCGACGTCACTTTTTTTTTTTTTTTGTTCTTCTTGGGGGTTGGGTTTGGGGGGAGAGTCATGTGATGATGACGTTTTGCGATCCTAGCGGCGTTTATCACGTGACCGACTACGACGGGAGCGTAATACTAGTTGTTTAAAAATCGAACTCAACCTCATTAAATTGTTAATTATTACAAATTTTTAAAACTTTTTTTTTTAACCTTTTCTTCTACGTTAATCCTTTTTTGTAAGTTAAAAATAATTCGTGAACACTCAACAAGTTAAATACAATTACAAATGGTTAAATCACTTACTGGAGATGAATGACAAAATTAAGGATACATTAAAATCACTAAATGGCGTAAGCGGTCAGAGTTTAATATACTATCTACTTGCACCCTTGTTGCGAGCTGGGTTAGTGGTTGTATTTAACTAAGCTGGTAGTCGTAGATTTTACCTTAGTTTGATAGATAAATCTTTCACTAGTTACATAAAACCGAACCGAAACTTGGGTTGAAGACACTTGGGTTCATGGTGGGACTATATATCATCATCAACTTGTATTGCTAACTAACTGTCAATTAAATAAACAAAACCATTGAAATGCACAAGACAATATGGGATTATATCTTTGGCATTTGATACCAAACATAACAAAATTAGTCTTTATCATGTTTTAGACATTTGCTATTGTGTGATTTTTGTCCACCATGTAGTCAAATTCTTAACTAGAATAAGGGTTTGATTTTCCTCATACTAATAACATAAGTACACTTACTTGGAAGCGAAATCGACAAACTCTGTTCTATGCATATATCTCATTTAACAAACTGTGGGAGTTTTAAGATAGAACGACAAAAACATACCTGCTACATCATTCCTCTAATTAATTCATCTTCTACCACAGTTGCGCAAAATCAAAATGCTTCGGAATTCAAAACCATAATCCAATAAGGGCTTCCAAACAGACTACTATTAGTGGAAACTATAGGCTAATATGTCTGTCACATTTCAAGACACATAAACTTAGAGGTACGTTGGCAGAAAGAGGCATAACCATTTAATTTCAGTGAAAGTAATAACCAACAATATTGAATCTAGAGCAGCACCATCCTCATCCACTTCCACTCAATAAATGCCTGACCTTCTCGTTCCAGGATAAAAGGATGTTCAAACTAAACCGACCAAAGTGGATAATAGCTTAACTAAATGCATACATAGGAGCTCAACTCCACAAATGGAAACATCAAGTTGACTCGTAACAAGAGAACAGGCCTTTGATCTTCTCATACACCATATGCTCGTAAATGTTATACTCGGAAGCAATCTCTCAGAGAGAATCCTATATATACCAAATATTCACTTTCTTCAGAGGCTAAACAAATCATTTCGAGTGGCATAGAGAATATATGGTGTGGATTTGTTTACAATAGTTTGGCTTGTATGGCATGCTCTGAAATTAGTAAAATGTAAACATGAACACTTCTACAAGTATACCTCTGAATATGTGAGTTTATCCTTTAAATTGTATTAAAAATATGGAAACTGGAATTTTTTTTTTTCATAGATAGTCAACAAAATTAAAAACATTGAATTGAAACAACTGTCTAACACACTGATCACTACCAATCACTTGCGGTAAATTTCTTGCAACTATTATCCTCATTTTCGTTGTTGTTTCAAGCTCTCTCTCTCTCATTCTCTAACCTCATCATCACTTGACAAAGTAGAGCTTGCCCATGACATGAAGCACAGCTACAAAAGCAATGAAACCAATGCTCATAACAAGAACAACATTAGGAGAGATCTTAAGACCCGGTGCGTCATCAGTGTAGAACTGAAGCATGGATCCCGCTGCACCACCACCACCACCAGATGCTCCTCCTCCTCCTCCACTCCCACTAGGCTTCCTCCTACGCATGCTTGCAGCTGCAGCTGCACTTCCTCTCTGCGGTACTCCACTTCCCACCATCCTTTCTTCTTCTCTTCTTTTAACTAAACTAACACACATTTGTAAACAGTTTAGAGCTTTTCTCTCAGCAGCAAACCATAATACAAAAGTGCTCTAAAAATTGGTCCGCAAATCGGATATGAGCGAAACGATTTTTTCAAAACGTCCATCTAGGCATTCAAAAAATCGGCCTAGACGTCCGCGTAAACAATAATTCTCAATAACACCCCTAACTACCACCTAACAATTTTTAGAACATTGCAAAAAATGCAATCAAATAAGAAACCTAAACACCATCGAATTGTTCATGTAATGCAATTAAATCTAAACACCATGATTCTAATTGCATAGAGAAGCGAGCATTCAGCAAACTCAATCGCAATTTAGGTGATTACTGCAAAATTCTCCGATTCAACATTTGAAACCAATATAGCTATCGCCATGCGAGATTCTACACTGCTCCGTCTATGAATTTCTCAAAATATGTCAATACAACACGAAACCGTATCAGATCGTATATTGTAGATCAACCGCGATTCTGGTTTTCAACATCGCGAGATCTCATAATCAGATCTAACTCAACAACAGATCTAAGGATTCCTCAGTCACGATACTATTGAATCACATAATCGCAGCATCGCAAATGAAATTAAAAAAACTCACCTGATTTCGCCTTCTGATGTCGACGAGAACGAGACGCAGAAATGTTTGGATTTTTAAGTTTTGACCCGACTCTGACCTTTTTATAAGGACGCGTTATTCTCGCCACGCAAATATACATCGTATTAGCCAATAAAATATCGCCACCTCAGCGTATTTATCATTTTTCCGTGGTCGAGTTTGGATATAATAACTAACGTAAGCCCAAAGTAAAGGCCCATAAAAGCCCAAACGAAAGCCTATCAGCACTCGGGCATGTATATTGCCAACAATCCTGTGTACGAAGATCGAAAATAATATACAAACTCTATATACTACTATTGTGTAATCATTTTACTTTATTGGTAGGTCATTTGATAAGATATTTGAAGTGAAATGTCTGATTTTAACAGGCATCTTTGATGTTTCTGACTTTTTGATTCCCTAAATCAAAGGATTCAAGCAGAGCCATATAACATAAAAAAAATAAACAAATATATGCAGCAATGCTGAGTTAGGGTCCAGTACTACCTTCATTATAAGCTCAAGATGTTTCTGTTGATTATTATTCCAAATGTCTTTCTTTTTGACCATACAGTACGTAAAAATAATCACACTGTAAGTGTTAAAATATTTGATTTCGTTTCTCATGGGTAACTTGTGGAGAACACTGAGTAAGAAATATGAATGATGAAAGAAGTTTCGTACGTACGTACGTAGACATTAAAAGCAATTCATCTTTTTTCTTTGTAGATAGATCTCGAACACGAATCTCGAGATGGAGACAGATATGTTAATCAGAGAGTGTCATGATACATATCTATCGGGCATAAGTTATGGAGCCTGACATTTTTTGTACGGTCAGAGTCGACAAATACTGTACTGCTTTATTTTCACCTTCGTACATATCCATCATTTCCAAATCTTGAATTTGTTCCAGTGAATCAGTGCCATGTATATATATAATATAAGTTTCGCAAATATGTTCCAGTCAATCAGTGTCATATAAAATGAAGCTTGTATTTATTTTCTAACAAGTGTATATCTACATTTTCACTGTTTTATTTTTTATATTTAAAGAACCAATGATCGAAAGTGTGCTTAATGAAAACGAGAATCACAACTGATGAAAGTTGTAACAAAATAATTATCGAAATAATATATATTTTTATAGGTTATTTCAATTCAGTGTTTACTGTATAATTTAATATAGTGTTTTGCATAACTTCGTCGTTGTGTCATTATATAGATTTAAGTTTTTGGTATTATTTATGTGTGTTGCTGACAACAAAAAAAATGGACCACAATATTTTCTCAAACAGATAGTTCCCTTCGATCTTCATGTGAAAACACATGTTGAATTCTAGCTAGGTATGTTGATTATTGACTGGAGTGTATAACATATTCGTTTCTTTGATCGATAATGACTACACTGTCTAGTGTATATCTCCCTTTTAAAACGACAATGATATATCATAGATGTGAATATAAATCAAGAAAAAAAAATTAATTTTAATAAGTAAGGTGGGGGAGACGCAACTAAATAAGAAAAATAATTGAATAAGACAATGATGACATGGTAAATAGTTTTGACGAGATGATATTTTTATGTTTGGAAAATCAGATCGGGCCCCTTCACTTTTGCATTTATTATAGAACGTCTTCGTGCGGTGGCGGTAGCTTCGTTTGGGGTATCTCAATTTATTACTTGGTACCTTATTTTGGTTGTCCCTCCACATTCATCTTTTTAATATATAGTTTATTATTTTACCACATGGAAATAAACAGATCATCGGTCAGGTATATTTTCTTTACTGTGCTGTGCATGTACCCTAGATCAAGAACTCGTACTTTCTTTTAGTTTGAGTTGCAGTTGTCGAGCAGATACTTGATAAAGATGAAAGATTTGAATGGTTGCATATTTATTGCGTTTGCTGTAGCAAGAAGATATATAGCGACAACAAACTTGTAATCCTAAAAACACATGTTATTAGCATTCGTTTTCATGACGCCGTGTAAGAAAATAAGCTTGTAGAATAATAAGAGATTTGTTGTTAAGTCAGAGTTTAAAAAAAAAAATTTAATATAGCAAATATTTTTCAAGAAATATTACCGAACGAGTTACATTTTTGTTTTTGAGACACTTCGAACGAGTTACATTGAATATTGGATATACTATGTAAAGCGTTTTGGTGTACTGATTTAAGGAAAAGAGCCATGTCCATCTAGGATTTTAAAACTCATATATATTTTTAGGTTAATATAATAAATGTTTTTAACAATTTAAAGATCATGTGATTTATATATAGTACTCCCTCTGTTTATAAAAGATTCATATTCTAGTTTTTTCACACCTTTTAAATTTGCATAGTTTTTTTGTATTTATATTTTTCCATAATTTTAAACCAATAAAAATTAATTAGTGCAATTAAATTTTTTGAAGTTTACAATTAGTTAATAAAATATGCATTGAAAATGTAAAAAAAAAAAAGATTTTTTAGAAACAAAATTATTTTCAAGAATATGTATCTTTAAGGAACGGAGAGAATAGTTCTTTACAACTTAGGGATTAGTGCCATTTTTTGAACATGGATTAGCATAAAAGTTTTTTTAATAAATATATCTACTAATCCGGTTAGTTTTGGAGCATGAATTGTTATCATATTGTCTGATATGAGATTGAAATATCTTTAAACTAATACCAGAAAATATACCGAACATCTGTTATAATTTATCATATTAACCACATGTGTCGAAACTTAAATCCAAACTAATTAAATAGTAATAATTTAGCTTTCAGGAAAATCAAACACATAACCAACACTGATACATGTTAAACTTTAAGAGATTACCAATTTACCTATAGGTTATAACACTTGGTTATTTTTAGCACAAATTTTTCATTTAGATATGTGAAGAACCAGTTTAACGACATATTCTAGTTGTATTTCACTAAAATTACACGAAGTATATATTCAGTGCTTGTCCACTCGTGGAAGCAACGTAAAAGCATGAACCACGATAAAATCAACATGCGTTTCTCAATAAAAATAAAATATTAAAATTTACTTTTTACAATTAGATGATGAATACTTTTATATATTCTACTATTAATAAAGTTACATTTGTAGAAAAGTCTCCTCGTTTTTCTTTGTGAGGATATCTTCATGAGTAATCGTTTCTAATGATTTTGTTATTCTCTTTTTTACTTTTAATATTTCTCGTTATTTTTATCACTAGAAAAATAATGAGAGACCATCATTAAAGTTGTCCTAAACGACGGCTTTTATGTATCAAAAAGAAATTCAGCTAAATTTGTCTATTAATTTTCTTTTTTAAATTACCAAGCTGATTAAGATGCATTTTAATTTTGGATTAGGGCATCCAATCGTTATGAACTGGCGCTGTATATATCACTGAAAGGATTTTACAAAAAAAAAATATCATTGAAAGGATAGAAATGTTGTGTGATTCCACCAAAAACAAAAATGGTCGTGCGTTGTCTATGACTTAACGTCCATACGTGTGAGTCTCATTGTGGTCTTTGGAAGCTCGCGACGTCGACGTTGACGAAAGTCACACGACTCACACCTGTGTCTAAATAGTACACGCGTTAGAACCACTTGTTAACATGAATAGGCCCCTTAACCAGAACCCTCAGGCTCCACCAGAGAGTCTAACTGATGTTGAGTTGACATCTCTCTCCACCTCTTCTACAGACTGTCGGCGGAGTAGTACTCTCTCCCCCTTTGTTTAATTATAGTTTTAGATTCCTACTAAGTTCTATTTTAATCTTCGTATAATATTTGCTCTTAAGTACTTTGAAGCTGGTTCATTAATTTCAGTTGATATTATGTGAATAAAATATGGATAAAAAACAATAGCTTAGCTGTTGCACTTACACATTTGTCTGATTTTTTTTTCAGCTTGTAAAATAAATAATTACTTGTTTTAGTAACTTCTCTCCAGCTTCCATATGACTCCAAAAACCCATGTCGATTCTCTTTTCGATAAAATTCCATATAATAAAATCATGTAGATTTAGTGTACCTTCTCACTCACTATTTCACAATTATTTATATTAGAAAATCATGGACATTTTCTAATTGGAATCTATATAAAATCATGTCAAAAACGTTCATTACGGTTCGTTTAAACGAAAACTATAAACGAAAAAAAAAAGTATTTAGAAACAACAAATAGATTTTCTATAAGATTTCTTTTAAACGGTATTTTGTTGTAGTAGATGGGAATTAAATTGCGTTATCTGGAAGAAAGTGATTCAAATCTGGAATATATTTACTACTCAAAAAATAAAACCTGAACTTTCGTAATCGCACGAGCTACGTTTTAATACTATTAAATATTCAGTACACACTAGTAACTACAAATTTAAAATATATAATATAATTTTTTATTATTAAAGAAAAAAGAAGTGAAGAGGAAGTTGCCCTACTACATGAAAGCTACTCTCCTCCATCTTCTCGAGCTTACTGTATATAAAAAGCCTCTCAAAACCCTTCCCATTTATTCATTTCTATTTTCATTTTCTAACCAAAAAAAGAAAATAAACTTTACCAGACGACAGGAATATACATTTCTTGATTAATGGCGTCTTCTTCGAATACTCTGGCGATATCTCCAAGGAAGCTCCGGTCAGACCTTTATTCATACTCTTACCAAGACGGTTCGACCACACCACTCGTGATCTCTGTTCTCTCGTCTCTCATTGAGCGTACGTTAGCTCGGAACGAGAGGATCAGCCGGAGCTACGGTGGTTTTGGTAAGACACGTGTCTTTGATTGCTTAGAGATCCCTGACATGACGATCCAGTCGTATTTAGAGAGGATTTTCCGGTACACAAAAGCCGGTCCATCGGTTTACGTCGTGGCTTATGTCTACATTGACCGGTTCTGTCAGAATAATCAAGGTTTCAGAATCAGTCTCACTAATGTACATCGTCTACTCATCACAACCATCATGGTCGCTTCCAAATACGTTGAAGACATGTAAGTTACAAAAAAGATAGTTAAAGTTTTATTCCTCTGCTTTTTTGTAAAAATAAATTTAAGTTAATTGACTTATTTTTCTTTTTATTTGACTCTTACAGGAACTACAGAAACTCGTACTTTGCTAAAGTAGGAGGATTAGAGACAGAAGATTTGAACAACTTGGAACTGGAGTTCTTGTTCATGATGGGGTTTAAGTTGCATGTGAATGTGAGTGTGTTCGAGAGTTACTGTTGTCATCTTGAGAGAGAAGTAAGTATAGGAGGAGGTTATCAGATCGAGAAGGCATTACGTTGCGCTGAGGAAATTAAATCCAGACAAATTGTTCAAGATCCTAAACACCATAATCAGTTTTCAAGAATCTTGTTGTAGTCAAGAACTCTGTTTTTTTNTTTAAGTTGCATGTGAATGTGAGTGTGTTCGAGAGTTACTGTTGTCATCTTGAGAGAGAAGTAAGTATAGGAGGAGGTTATCAGATCGAGAAGGCATTACGTTGCGCTGAGGAAATTAAATCCAGACAAATTGTTCAAGATCCTAAACACCATAATCAGTTTTCAAGAATCTTGTTGTAGTCAAGAACTCTGTTTTTTTTTTTTTTTTTTTTGTCGGTTCGGTATGCTTTTGAGGGTGTTTGACTTTTTGATTACCTTGTCGGTTGGGGTTTTCTTGAAATGTAAATAGAGAGAAAATTTATAGAGACTGGTGTTGTATGTATCTATGTATCAGCACATGTAGATTCTTCTATGTGCCTGTTGAGGTTTAAGGAAATGGTTTTTTTGCATATGCAAAATCTTTGTTAATCTTTTGTTTTGTCATTTACTAGTTTCTTAGACATGTGAACTTTTAGCAATGGTTTAGACACTAAAATCCATTGATTAAGAAATGGGGCTGTCCATTAAATTATGTCTCTGATTGTGAAATCTCAGATATTATTTGCCATGCATTGGATTTGTTAAGATTGTTGGCAATCTTAAGGTCATGTTCAACTCACAACCAAACAAAATGTTGTGTTTTATTTTTGTTATAAACTGACGAATTTTAACATTTTAACTAGCAAATGCATACGTATATAAACTCTCTACATTGTATAAATGATAATAGGAGAACAGGAGAAAAAAGAAAACAGTTCATGTTTTGTCTATATTTAGGAAAATGATAGTTCACAAGATTTCTTTCACAATAGGAATAGTACAATAGATTGTACAGCTTTTATACACAATCATGGTGCAAAAATACACAAACTCGTTGAGAACTTCTAATTATGACAAAAGTAACTAAATGATTTGAACTATCTTTTACTACATAAACTCGTTGAAAATTTACAAGCTACATGAAGCTGTGGCATGCACATCAACGAGGGGAAAACACAAGCAAGTTCCATAAAAATAAAAATAAAATAAAAAAATAAAAACACCCATCCATGGATGTTATTTCTTTTGTCGTACATGAGTTGCAGACCATGCAGTTTTTGGATTTTTCGGATCATTCACTTTGCACAAACTTCAAGTCTTCATCTACTATTATGATTGTTGGTTTCATTGTGTTTGAGGGAATCCGTTATCTTAAGACTGCAGGTTGATGTCAACTTTCTATTTCTAAACTACTTTTAGCATGGGAAATAATACTTTGCTTAAAAAATTCTGAAGGACCATAGCTTGAAACCTCTATTATACAAACCCAAAAAGTATAGTTCAATTATTTTCCCTTTTGAGTTTATTATTCTGCTGGACCATATAGCGCTTTATAAAATGAACAGAGTGTTAGTTAGAAAAGGTTATTATTAGTGGATATGATTACTGTCTACCTAAAACTGGTCGTTAGTTCGAAATTCTAATTATGATCACAGCCAGAAAATGGACATTAGGAAGAGATCCGAAGTTCCATCGTATACTTTCTACAAACAATAAATCAATAAAATGAATTTTTTATTTTAGTAGTGATCAGGTATGAAATTCTTGACAATCTATTATTGTTAGTAACAGGCCTGGTTCGTAAAGAAATCATGCGGATACTAAACATGAATTGTATATCCACATTAATCATTTTGGATACATGGTGATACGAAAAATATAAAGTTAGGATTCGGGTGCTGATTTGGTGTCAAATAATTGATTAATCGGTGGCACATAAACATCCAATACGAACGGTTTATCATCCTTTTATTTTAATGATGTGCATCAACCATTTTAAATAAAATAAAATAATGCGTTCATTGTTGATTCATTGAATCCTTCCCCTGTTTTTGCATGAGCAAATATAGTAAAACGGAGTTCCGTTTTTCAATCGAACAAAAGTACTTGTACGAATGTTTTTCATGAGCATGCATACATAAGAGTAATATATGTTTGAGAAAACATTATATGTACAAATAAGGCATCAACCATTTGATCTAATCCTTTGAACTATATTATTAAAAGTAAGAAGTTGTTGGAATGATCTCCAATTGTTGCGTACAAGAGATATACAAATTAATATTATTAATGCATTGTAAACTTCAAAGATTAATAGTTATAATAAATTAAGATTTTTAGTCTTAAGTTGGCTTTATCAAAAAAATAAGGTGAAATGTTTTTAATTATAAAATATATGTAAATATATAATTTAATTAATATTATTAATTATTAGTTTATATACATAATACAATTCAAAAAATTAATAAAATAAAATAGACAGAAAAATAAATTCATAAAGTTTAGTAAAACTAAATTATAGAAAATGACTAGTAGATTAACGTTTTTACAATAAAACAAGTATAAAAAATATTATTTATATAATTTAAATGATACGACTTTCATTTTCTCCTTGTCGTATTTTCATCCGTGAAATATATAAATTCAAGATAGCCCCTCCAAAATATTATATTGGTTGTCCACAAAAGTGCATGGGCCTAACAGGCCGATAATTTATACAGGCCATCTAATGATTTTTCTCGTTTGCATCTGAATGTAACAGACGGATGTGCAGTCATCAAAATTTAGTAAGAAAAAAATATTTCAGATTTTCACTTTTACTATGATAAAGTGAACAATGGATCAATTTCCATAAGTCTTCTTAACGAAACCCACGCCAGGTTTTACGTTGAACAGTCTCGGATTTTTTCAAACCCTTCGCCTGACGTTGGGTTGAATAATTAATTAAGAGTTTACATGTTGCATCAAAATCTAATCAGATTTTCACTTTTACTATAATTAAGTAAACAATGTTCAGATTTCTACTTCAAGCTCGGCCAAAGTTCGAGGGTTAGTTCCAATCTAGATGGTGAGGCTCAGGCTTTTCTGTACGCACTACAGAACATCTAGTGGATTAAAGGATGGAGATATGTTTGGTTCGAAGGGGATAATCTTGAACTCACCAATATTAGCAATACTCGTGGACAAGATGTGGGGCTGAATAATGTATTATCTGACATTAGATATTGGATGGGAATGTTGCCCGAGTGTTCTATTGAACAGGTTAATAACGAAAGAAATCAAGAGAAGGCTCTTGTTGGCGTAAGCATGTACTCTGAGTTTCATAACTCTACCTGTTTGGTAATTGATTATTTGTATTACCCTTTTACTATATAATTTAATAAACTTACTGTTGTTAAAAAAGAGAGTAAAAAATGGATCGATAACGAAAATCAAGCCAAGTTTTACGTTCAATAGTCTGCGATTATTTTCAAACCATTCGCCTGACGTTGGGTTGAATAACTTTTCTAGGAAATTTACACACTATATCGTTTTCAACCGTGAGATTGAGATTTCAACGGTGTAGATCAGTGGATATAGTTCTCCAACGGCCAAGCAAACCACCATTAACGTACAAGTTTCTCCATCGCGATACGATAAAACGAAGATCCAATTTAATTCCAGTTCACCTTGTTTTAAGGGTAAAGAAGAATTAGTTACATAATACGACAACGAAAATTTCGACCACATGTACCTGTGGGCCTAACCGTTAACCGTCACGTAGTGACGTAGGACATATACTCCGAAGTAAAACAAAAAAAAAACAAAGACTTCACGTATCCTATAAGTTGGGCTACTAGACATTAATATATTACACGTGGCTTAAAACAGTTGGGTAGTAGAGTCCTTCACGGGTTTCGATCAACAAATGATAAGTCTATAAAAGTAACACTAAGTCATAACTCGATACTCACTTATCTTTACAATGGCAAGTCTTGGCTTAGAGCGATGTTACATGATAATGAACTTACTCTTTGTTCTAACATTTGTTCTATTGAACTCTGCTCATTGTTTTAACCCAAAAGGTCTCAACGTTTCGGCTGTAGCGGGGGAGTCCGATTGGTCTCTGGCCCGAGCTACGTTCTATGGCCTCCCCACCGGTTACGGAACCGACGGTATACATATGCATAGATGTATTTATGTAATATAATGCACATGCACATTACATCTCTACGTAACCAATTTATTTTGCTCTATATATTAAACTAACTAGAATATAAAATAATGAAGCTGGAGCGTGTGGTTACAAAAATGCTGTGGCACAAGCTCCATTTTCGTCCATGGTATCAGCGGGAGGTCCGTCGTTGTATAAATCGGGGAAAGGATGTGGTGCATGTTATCAGGTTTTTTTTTTTTTTTGATAAGTATGTGAATCTCATTAATGAATAATGAAGCTTAGAGATACAATTGGCTTTGACGAATCTAATCCTAATGTATCTAAGTCGCTAAGTCAGAAGACAAAGCAATGGTGTCTTAGGTAGCCACAAAAAAAGGTAAAAAAGACTAACTAAGACAAGGAAGGTTCAAACACAACCATATGGAAGTGACCGAAGCTTAGCTGAACATTACAATTCCATGGACAACACTTAGCTTGCAGGAGACCAATGTGTATATCTTGAAGCCGGAACCTACAACAAAATCACATTGTTCATTAGAGAACACAACCGGAGAACGGTCCGAGGGACCGCAGACCATCCCTAAGGAAACTCCGACAAGTGGACAGGCGAAGCAGGGTCGGCAAGTCCTGGTCCGGCCATCGCTACCAGGTGAAGTTTACTCCAGACGTTGCAATCTCAAGAAGATGTCGAACCGTACTCTGGGAATCCAAACTGACGAAGAGAAACCGGCTGTTGAAGCACAGGTGGAGTACTGGCTGGTGGAAGCGGAGGTTTTAACGGCTCGACTCCGGTCCCATCACGCGAGCAGAGCACAAAGGAACCCGGTCGCAGAGCATCAAGAGAGGCAGAGGACAGAAGCTACCTTCCTTCTGAAGCTTGAAAGCGGAGGAGCAAAGCTCCTATCAACAGGTGAGAGAGGTGAAGAGAGTTGTCGAATGGAACCTGGATATAATGAAGTAACAGCACAAATCTCCAATCCAACCCAAGACCCAAACAACTCAAAACCCAACATAACACCATGGTGGTTGTCGAGAAATCATACCCAAGAAGAAGTCCCCAACGATAAGCCTCTATATCGTCTTTTCAACTTGGAACAAGTGAGGGAAGTTCTTACCAAAGCAGCCAGATGAGGAGACAAGGGATGACGGTGGAGGCAGCAAACTGACCAGAACGGCGAAGGTAGCGACGCTATACCACTCCGGCGACCACTCCGAGAGAGATCTGACCCAGATCCGCTCAAGGTCAAACCCTAGATCTACCACCAAAACGGCGCCTCCTTTCCAGATCTGACTAACCACGACCTCGCCATCTCTCCAGGGAAGCTGTAGACGCCTACAGTAACCGGTTTAGGTCGCCGGATCCGGCCGCAACCCGACGAAGAACAGAGAAGATGAAGCAAGGAGGAAGTGGGTTAATTGAAACTAGAGAAGGGAGAAGGCTGGATACACGGGAGATTGGGGTGGCGACCGACGGATAGAAACCCTTCGTCGGCCACCGGAAGTCGTAGACGGCTAGGTTGTGTTCAGGCGAGGAAGTCGCAGGGGAGAAAGAAAAGAGAGAAAAAGACTCTCTCACCTCTCTCTAAAAAAGTTGTTTTTGCATGTTATCAGGTTCTGCATGTGTTTAATACATATAAAATATATCAAAGTTTTAAACGTAAAAAATAATTTATACGTTGGTTAATACAAAGTACAGGTAAAATGCAATTCGAACCAGGCGTGTTCGACGAATCCAGTTACGGTAGTGATTACAGACGAATGTCAAGGATGCGTCAATGAGTCGGTCCATTTCGATTTGAGCGGTACAGCGTTTAGTGCGATGGCCGTTCCTGGTCAAGATAGTCAGCTTCGAGATGCTGGAGTTTTGCAGATTCTTTATAGAAAGTATATATGTCACATTAGATAAATAACTACAACAATATGGTTACATATGGTAATGTTTGGTTTATTGATTTTGCTCTAACTTTCGTTTATGTTTGTAGAGTTGAGTGCAACTATGTTGGCGAAACGGTGGTGTTTCAAGTGGAAGAAGGTTCAAATGACTACTACTTCGCGGTTTTGGCTAAGTATGTAAACGGAGACGGCGAGATCGGCCTAGTTGAACTCAAACAAGCGTTAGCTTCTGACACATGGCTTCCGATGAGCCACTCATGGGGTGCGGTTTGGAAGCTTGGAGTGACGTCACCTTTGCGAGCTCCACTGTCTCTCCGGTTGACTTATTCAGACTCCGGTGAGACCGTTGTGGCTTCTGATGTTATACCGGCTGGTTGGCAGCCCGGTGCTAAGTACAAATCGAACGTAAACTTTCAAGTCTAGCTAGACTAACTAAGTTTAGCTTACTCGCGAGTCACGAATCGAATAATATCTACTGAAAGTTATCTTCGTTACATGTTTGCTATAACCTTAAATAAGCATGTAGCTATGTTGGTTTTTAAATAATTGATGTGTACGCCCCTAGGGCGAAATAAAAATTTGTGTTAAAGTTCATATGGTGAATTGGTATAAACGATAATCAGTCACTTGTATGATAACATAAACAAGTAATTTGTTTGCTTTAAAACTCTCTATCTTGTTTAACGTTAACATTTGTAATGGAATGGAATGCTTATTCCATTAGTTACACACAAAAATAAATAAATTAAAAAAATGACTTCATTCTAATTTTAGTCATGAACTGGATTCTAACTTTCGCAACCGCGCGGGTCTTTGTTTAAACTTTTATATACATAAATATTTATTTTAGTTTATTAATAGTTTAATCAGATATTTAAATATTTATACACTTATTTCAAATATAATAATTTTATAGTTTACATGTTGTAATTAATCAATCGCTTAAAATCGTTACATGTATTTGTCGCTTCTTTTGTATTTAGTTATTAAACAAATTAATTTATGTTAAATTTGACTCCGTCCTTCAAAATTGGATTTCTTTTTAGCAATATTTAATACGTTTATTTCTTTTAGATAATATATTATTAGTTATTATATATACAAAAGTCTAAGATATGTTAACTTTTATACATGTATTATGTACTTTGCTAATTTATCCCATCTTATCAACGTATTATAGCCGCTCGCTCAGACTGATGGCCCGGCTAACGCCTCTCACCATCCCATTAGTTGTTTTTGAACATAAATATTTTATACTTAAGAAAATAAGTTATATAAATCTATCAATTTAAAATAATTTATCAGATTTACCTCAATATAAGAATTTTAATATGTTTTCTTATGATTATATAGTAGATAAAAATAGGATAAAATTTTATTTTTTTATTTTATAAACAATAATTGAATATTAATGCATAATAATACTTCATTGATAATTACCAAATTAGTGAAATTATTTACATAATTTTTAAATAAAGATATTGTTCAATTATTTTCAACAGACTTTTTATAATTTTTAAAATATATATATATATATATATATATATATATATATATATATATATATATATATATATATAAACTAATGACGTAATTAGTGAAAATATTTAAATATAATTAAAAATAATATATTGTCAAAATGTTTTGAAACAGATTTATGGAATTTTTAAACTTAATATTAATATTTAAAATGAAAAGATATCAAAAGATATTATGATTTAAAGTAGTTTGAATATTCTATATATTGTTAGTCTTAATAAAAAATTCTAAAGGATGATCCATTTAAAAAAAAACATACATGAAATGAAGTTGTGAATTCTCTTTTAATGTATACTAGATCTCAACCCGCGCAACCGCGCGGGTATTTGTTTTCATTTATTTTTATATAAATATTTTGTTTTTATTTTTAAATTGGTATATATTATATAAGGTTTGTATATCGAAAATGATATATTATATAAGGTGTGTATATCGAAAACAATGATTAATAGTTATATAGTATAGATTAATTATTGTTAGAAAATAATATTTTTGTCATTTTAAAAAATAAACTATATAATTTTTAAAGTTAACAATGAAAATATATAACTAATTAACTTATACTATTACAATATTAAATTATATAAGTTTAATTTAAACATGTATTTTATTATAATATCTATAAATTCAATAGATCATCTAATTTTTATTAGCACAATAAAAATTTATAGTAAGCCCAATAAATGTTATTAGTGAATCTAATGAATGTTATTAATGATTAAATATATAATGTGACCAATTCTAATAGATAGTGCATTTTTATAAAAAATCACACATGAATGAGAAGTTCTCACTTCTCTTTTAATATAATAGACTAGATCTTGACCCGCACAACCGTGCGGGTTTTATTTTCAATTTTATCTGCATATATATTTATTTTAGATCATTTTTAATTTTAATTATATATTTAAATATTTATATAACTATTTCAAATAAAATAATATATAGTTTACATGTTGTAAATAATCAAATGTTTAAAATAATTACATGTATTTTCTACTTCTTATTATATATTTATCTTATTGTATTTGTATTTGGTTATCGAAAAAATTAATATGTGCATGAAAAACATATTTGAAAAGTATTTTGTGTTTAATATATGGTAAATTTGGACCCGTCTTCAAAACTAGATTTCCTTTTAATAATATTTTATGTTTATTCATTTTACATAATAAATTATTGTATATACAAAAGTATAAAATATTTTAATGTTTATACATGTATTGTAGTCTCTTAGCCTATTATATATTAAATATAAATATTTGATATTTATGAAAATAAACTCTATAACTCTATTAAATTAATATAATTTTATAATATGTATTTCAGTATAAATATTTTATTTTACATGGTTGAATATTATGATTATAAAATAGATAGAATTAGGATAAATTTCATTTTTAATTTTCTAAACAAAAATTCTATATATATATATATATATATATATTAATGCATAATAATAGTCCATTTCTAACTACAAAATTAGTGAAAAAATTTACATACACTTTTTGAAAATTAAGATATTGTTAAAACATTTAGATCAAGATAATAATTTTCTTTTAATATGATTGATTGTGATTATATAATAGATAAAAAGCGATAAAATATTTAATTTTGTTTTAATAATGATAACTAAATATATTAATATATAATAATATTTCAAAACTAATCAGGAAAGTATTGAAAATATTTATATATAATTTTGAAAATTAAGATCTTGTTGAAATCTTCTTAAACAACTTTTTCAAAAATTTTAATATATATAGAATTATATTTTAAATGAAAAGATATCAAAAGATATTGTGATTAAAGTATTTCAAAGATTCTATATATTATAAGTCTTCTTAAAATACATTTAATATAAAAAAATAAGAGTGGTTCAACTTAAAAATCACACATGAAATGAGGTTGTGACTTCTGTTTTAATACAATAGATAAATGGAATGAAATCTATTCCATTTTTATTTAAATTCCATTCCTTTTATTCTACTAATTTTTAGATGTACTAATATTTCCAATTATACAAATAATTTTTTAAACACTGAATGTATTCATAAGAACTACTCCCAAAAACACATTATAAATATCCGCATCATATTATTAATCAGATTTACATCTAGCTATTGCTATTACAAAAATTTCTTTGAACGAAATAAAGTTAGATCATAAAATGGCACCATTCAATAGATGTTTTGCTCTTTTAGCTCTTTTTGCAGTCTCGTTTAAGTCTTGTTATTGCCAGAATGGGACTATAAATGCCGCTGGTTGGGCGAACGCTGGTGTTACTTGGTACGGTGAACCTGAGGGAGCTGGTAGCACCGGTACGTATTATTAAAATTTGAAACTAAGATATATATAAATATATTTATCTTCAAAAATGTATTTGTTGATAATGTCAATAGGTGGAGCTTGTGGATATGGCGTGGCAGTGGCTAATCCACCGCTATATGCGATGATTTCAGCCGGAGGCCCTTCACTATTCAACAATGGAAAAGGATGTGGAACATGTTATCAAGTTCGTATTAACATATTGAAGCAATTTTCTTAAGCCAAAACGAGACATTAATCTTTTAAGATCAGCATATTAACCTATAAGAAAAAACGACCAAATTTATTCATACAAAAAAACGGGTAATGATTAAATTAGGTTCATGTGGCCGGGATAGGTTTGGTTTATAAATTATACATACTGATACATGCACGCAAGTCTGAAGAATGACGTTACATGCAAGCAAGTCTAAAATACATTATATTTATTGTCTCAACCATATTGTAAATGTAAATATGTTTATTTTAGATTATGTGCACCGGGAACCCAGCGTGTTCAGGGAGACCAATAACGGTGACGATAACGGATGAGTGTCCCGGTGGTCCTTGCACCTCAGAGCCAGTCCATTTTGATCTAAGTGGCAAATCCATGGGTGCCTTAGCCAAACCTGGGCAAGCCGGTAATCTTCGAGCAGCTGGTGTTCTACGCGTTAATTACAGACGGTAAGATTACTTTTGTGATGTTAATTTTACAATGTCCAAAACTTTTAAATTTTTTTTTAAAATTTTGGTAATCTTTTGAGAAAGCAAATTCTAAAGTGAAGAATTTTGATTTTGTGTTTATGTTATGTTTGTTCCAGTGCTGCGTGTTCATATAGTGGGACTAAGATAGCATTCCATGTTGATGCCGGAGCTAATCCGTACTACATGTCATTTGTTGTGGAATACGAAAACGGTGAAGGAGATTTGGCCTCCGTTGAGATTCAACCGGCCGGTGGAGGATTTATCTCTATGCAAGAAATGAGGTCTGCCGTGTGGAAGTTAAACTCCGGTAGTGCTATGAGAGGTCCGTTCAACATTAGACTTACATCTGGTGAGTCTAAAAAAGTAGTGGTAGCTCAGGCTGTTATTCCAGCGAATTGGAAGCCTGGTCAGACGTACCGGTCAATTGTTAACTTTTAGGGTTTACTTTCTTTGGTCATATTGTAGTTCGACTCATTTCGTCGTTCGCTATTGTCAAAATATTATAAATAAAGGTTATATGAAATAATAATGATTGATAAAAATATGGATGTTGGGTTGTCAGCTCGAGTTCATATATTTATTTCTAGATTAGGTTATGTATAAAACCCACAAAGAAGTAGAAAAAAAAAATCAGAACCCATAACATAGATTAATCTCTTTAATCAAAATATATGCCAATGATAAATTTATTTATCATTTTCCAGAAGACATAAGCAGACACAAGAAATTCATACATCAGCGGAAGTTTCATGTGTTGTACTCTTTTGTCATGTACATGGTTTCCTTTTTTACCACATTGGGTTTTGAGGTTTTCTTGGAGAGATTTTAAGGAGGCAACATCAAAAGCATGAAATTAACCTTGGTCGGATATATTAACTAAGGGGGAGTGTTAAGAATCAGAAATGATGGTTGGGCCATATTCGGAAAATAGACCAGGCTCGTCCATAGATCAGAAGCTAGGCGGCAAGCTTGTCCTTATCCATCTGTAGCAAGCAGATGTTATTCATATCTACCTCTTTGTATTTATCTATATGTTGTAGTTATCCTAATCTATCCAGGATTAGGATCATCCCTTGTTATAAACTTTATCTCATTAGGATTAGGTTTATCTATTTGTTATGACGGCCTAAGGACATGAATATATACAGATCTCGACATCAAAAATAAGACAACAAGTTTCTACCTTTTATTTCACAACTTCATATCATGTGTGATTTCTCTTTTTAATATGTAAGATAAATGAAATTAAATATATTCCATTTTTATTTAAATTCCATCCCTTTTACCACTAATTTCATTTTAGAGTACTAATATTGCCAATTATACAAATAATTTTCTAAACACTGAAGGTATTCATAAGAACTAGTGAACTACTCCCAAAACACATTATAAATATCCTCATCATAATATTAATCGAATTCACATCTAGCTATTGGTATTACACGAATTTCTTAAACCAAAACAAAGTTAGATCATAAAATGGCACCATTCAATAGATGCTTTGCTCTTTTAGCTCTTTTTGCAGTCTCGTTTAAGTCTTGTTATTGCCAGAATGGAACTATAAATGCCGCTGGCTGGGCGAACGCTGGTGTTACTTGGTACGGTGAACCTAAGGGAGCCGGTAGCACCGGTACGTATTATTAAAATTTGAAACTAACATAAATATAAATTTTTATCTTCAAAAATATGTTTGTTTGATGATGTAAATATATGTCAATAGGTGGAGCTTGTGGATATGGTGTGGCAGTGGCCAATCCACCGCTACACGCGATGATTTCAGCCGGAGGCCCTTCATTATTCAACAATGGAAAAGGATGTGGAACATGTTATCAGGTTTATTAACATATCGAAGCAAATTTCTTAAGTAACTTAAATGAGACATTAATCTTTATTTCACATAAGATCAGCATATTAGCATCTAAGCAAACACGACCAATTTGTTTTTCATACAAAAAATGGTATTGATTAATTTAGGTTCATGTGGCCGGGATAGGTTTGGTTTATAAATTAAACATACTGATACATGCATGCAAGTCTCAATGACGTTACATGCAAGCAAGTCTAAAATACAGATATTAATTGTCTCAACCATATCGTAAATGTAAATCCGTTTGATTTTATAGATTATGTGCACTGGAAATTCAGCATGCTCAAGGAGACCAATAACGGTGACGATAACGGACGAGTGTCCCGGTGGTCCTTGCGCCTCGGAACCAGTCCATTTTGATCTGAGTGGCAAATCCATGGGTGCCTTAGCCAAACCTGGCCAAGCCGGTCATCTTCGAGCAGCTGGTGTTCTACGTGTTTATTACAGACGGTAAGATTACTTTTGTGATGTTTATTTTACAATGTCCAAAACTTTTAAAATTTTAATATTTTTGTAATTTTTTTTAGAGAAGTAAATACTAACGTGAATAATTTTAATATTTTTGTTTACGTTATGTTTGTTCCAGCGCTGCGTGTTCATATAGAGGGACTAAAATAGCTTTCCATGTTGATGCCGGAGCTAATCCGTACTACATGTCATTTGTTGTGGAATACGAAAACGGTGAAGGAGATTTGGCCTCCGTTGAGATTCAACCGGCCGGTGGAAGGTTTATCTCTATGCAAGAAATGAGGTCTGCCGTGTGGAAGTTAAACTCTGGTGGTGCTATGAGAGGTCCGTTCAACATTAGACTTACATCTGGTGAGTCTAAAAAAGTAGTGGTAGCTCAGGCTGTTATTCCAGCGAATTGGAAGCCTGATCAGACGTACCGGTCAATCATTAACTTTTAGGGTTTACTTTCTTTAGTCATATTGTAGTTACTCATCTCGTCGTTCAGTCTTATCAAAATATTATACTTATAAATAAAGCTTATATGAAATAAAATGATTGATAAAAAAATGGATGTTGGATTGTCAGCTCGAGTTCATATATTTATTTCTAGATTAGGTTAATGTATTTAACCCACAAAGAAGTAGAAAACAAAATTAGATGACTGGTGAAACTTGTAATCCAAAACTCTTGCCATTAAAAATCAAAACCCATAATATAGATTGATCTCTTGAATAATTATTTTGAAACACTGATCTCTTGAATAATAAAAATATATATATATATATGCCGATGATTAGGCGATGAGAAGAATGATGGCCTCATAGAATCAGGAAGAAGAATAAGTATACATGAGGTTTCTTTACTTGGGCAAATAGAGCAAGTCAAACAACTTGCTGAGAAAGTCTTCATTTGCAGGTTTCTTTACAAGTTTAAGTTGCTTCTCAATCTCTTCAAGACCATATTCTTCTCCGATTACTTTCCTATTTTTTGAAGCTACATCTATCAACAGAGTCAGTACGATGATCATAAGTCTACATTTACAGCAAACTAACAACTCTGATCTGATTTGAGTTACGAAAGAAGCTTTGGCAAACCATTCTTGTGCTCTGCCCTCGTATATGCAGAGAGCTAGTTTAAGTAAGCTATTAAACAATGAAATTTAAGTATTTGAAGAGATCAAATAATATCAGATAATGTTTTAAAAAGTATAATATTGGTTTCCAGCAAAACAAAATGTAATCGAGCTAGTGCAACCAGAGACGCATAGGGGACTAGGATCGAAACTAAAATGCAGTAGAAATACAATCATCGATTTGGGGGAAAACTTCAATACAAAAAGAAAAGCTGAAAATGGTCAAAAATAGCATCGGGAGAAATTTAGTGGCAATAAAGTTTAATAACTGAGTCAGCGCCTGCAGTGAATAGCCATGGTTGCCTCGGATGAAACTTGCAATCCAAGACTCCTGCCATCAAACAGTGACCCCATTAGCATAAAATAATCTCATAAAAGAATATAAACGAAGAATCAGAAACACGGGAGAGAAAAAAAAACTGACCTCTATTCGAAGAAGAAGTAGAATGGCCTCTTAGAATCTCCAAAGGCACAATCAGAGGATTCTCGTTCAGATCACTATACACCTTTCCATGGAACACATAAGCCGTTGAATCCTCCGAGCACGAAGCGAACAACGGATACGAGCGGTGAAACGCCACATTCGTAATGTCTTTAGGATGGTTCTTGAGAGTCTTGTACGGTTTCGAAGACAGATCCATGTCAAACCAACACATCTTCCCTTCTTTGCTTCCTACTATCAGATTATCACCACCAGGATGAATCGCCATCGATGAGATCTCTCTCAACCCGGTCTCGAGCTTCTTGATGGGCAACTCTTTCTTCTGGAGATTGAAAACACGCACGTTCTTTTTCGTGGCGATGATGAACATTCCACGGTGGTGGGGATGAAAAAGTGTACAGACGGGAAGTCCCCGCATCTTTATTGGGAGCCTTTGTGTTTTATGCACTGAGAGCTGGTGTATGACAACACCTCTCGTTTCGCCTGCTGACATGACTGCTGAGAGATAGTCTCCTCTTGGATGCCAGTCAACAAATGATACGTTCTGAAAATATTGAAAAAACAGTTAAAGATCTTTCCCTGTTATTACACGACAGTGTCTACAAGGAATCTTTAGCAAAAGTGTACCTTAAAATGTCTTATCTTGATCCCTCCAAATGTCTCATCTTGATGCCAGCTTACAATTGCCGCAGCTATGAAAATATACCCAAGAAGGAGATGATTAATCATTCGGATTTTTTCATGTATGTTTCTTATTAACTTGTTGGTCGCTATTTTGAGACACTTACCAGATTCATCTAGTTCTGGAAGGCTTCCTAAGCGAAGCAGCTCTTCAATCTTTTGTTGTTCCTCATCAGTGCCAAGTTCAGTGTTCAGGATAACCAAATCTTGTCCCCTGCAAATGTGAGATGTGATGATGATTTCAGTATAGGGAATTTTTATAATAAATTAACAAACAAGCTTCCAAGATCCTAACTCACATGGCGACGGCTAGAATTGGAAAGTCAGGAAGAGGATTCCAGGCAACACACTTCACAGGTTCCTTAAACTGCCAGACCTTGAGACATCTACCAGTCTCCACTTCCCATATACGAACAGATCCATCAGCAGAACCTTTATAAAAAGAAAAAAGGAACACGAAGATTGGCATCTTGTAAACAAAAGAGAGGTCAAGAAAAATGAATAACCACACCAAATGAAATACCTGAGGCTATCCACTGGCCAGAACAATCAGGGGATAGAGAAGTAACAGCTCCTGTATGGCCTTTATACTCAAGGTAGCAGGAGTTTGGATAAGGTCTAAGATCCTTCCTACTAGGTAGTTTAGGCTTCAATGATTCAGGATCAATGTTTATCTGGAGAAACAAAATACACTGTGAAATTAATACAGGGAAATAAAAAGAAAAGAAAATGAGACGTTCGAATAAACTCCTACTCTCTTCTTTCGAACTCTTGGACATAAGTATAGATCCAAACAACGAGCAAACAACTCCTTTAGAGCATTCTCATATGCTGGGATGCTTCTCAGAGAAGTAAACCTACGCACAAATATAATCCATCATGAGGCTTAAGCTAACAAATACCAAAGAGATCTATATCAGAGTGCATTCAGCGTTTAGTACAGTATACCTTTTAGGAATGAATTTTGGCCGATCTTCCTCAAACATCAATTCATAAGCTGCTATTTCTTCCTCTGTTGGAATGTATTCCAAAGAAGGATTGTATGATTCTTCGTGTCCTGGAAAAGCCAAATTGTACAGATTAAAAACCTCAGGAAATGGAATTCTAGAACTGAAGAAGATAAACAGATAAGTCACTGAACCTGGCAGCTTTAGTTTCGGTGGAGGAATATAAGTTAAGTGCTTGCTCTTTTGGTCTGAAGTTGAATCGTCACCCCATAAAAGGTATACGTTGGGCTCTTCTTCGGGTTTATCAAACTTGATCAGCCCCTTCCTTATTGCTCTAACATACTTAACAACTTTTTTGGCTTCCCATTTTGAAGGGATGAACCTTCGCTTGGGTTCTGGTGCACTTGAGAGTGGATGTATCGCATCATCCCATTTGAACCAGTCGACATAAGGCTGGCACCAAGAGAATCAATCAAAAGGTCAAACTTTGAAGTGATTGGTATAACAGTAGTAAAAAAGGGCCCTAAACATAAAGGACATACGTACCGCATATGGATCGAAATCAGCATGTGGAGCTTCCCCTTTGAGCATTCTACGAATGAGCTTACTCTCCTCTTTAGTCAGCTCCACTTCCTCGTCATTATACTCATCATAAATCTTACGCCTAAAAGTCCCACACAATGCATCAACATAACGCTACTAACTAATACACCAAAACAAACAGAAACGTAATCAAAATTACCAGTTCTTGGAGTCATCCATAGTTGCAAGAAAAGAGTCGAGCTTGTCTTGCTTCTCTTTCTTGGTAATCTTCTTCCCAGTGATGTCATAACCAATATGTTTCTCGTCTCTGTACCACTCCAATGGAACATCCCCAACTGTATTCCTCGGAGCAACCTACAGATTAAAAGATTAAAAATATTTATAGAATAATTTCAAATAAGATAGAAAAAGCACCAACCTCATCTTCAGAAGAATCACTCTCTTCAGCAACTTCACGTTCCTCAGAACCTTCATCATCACTCCCATCTTCTTCCTCACCATCCTCACTATCTACTTGTTTACCTTCATCATCATCTGAGCCCACATGACCTGCACTAACGTTTAGTTACTCTCTATTACTAAAAACTAAAACTATAAAGAGACTTAACCTAAACCATAAACCCTAAAAAGAAGGATTAACCCTAAAATCTCAAATTGAAGATGAGCTAAACAAGTAATTACCATGGAGCTCGTCTTCCGACTCTTCTCCGTCTCCACCTTCTGTATCTTTGTCTGAAGCATCGTCCTCGGAATCGAAGATATCGGAGTCGAAGTCATCGGAGTTCAAAGAGCCGGACAAGCTCTGAAAAAATCCAAACACACATAAAAAGGAAATTAAACAAATATACAATTAGAGAAGACGAATAAGAAGGAAGGGGGAGGAGGAGAAGAAGAATACATCTCCGTCGTAATCGGAATCAGCTCCGGAATCTGAATCTAGTAGCAGGTCTTCTTCTTCTTTCAAGCTTTTTACTTGCTTAGCTACTACTGGCTTCTCTTTCTGAGATTTTAAAGCGGAGGAGACGCTTTTTTTCTTGGTTTCAATAGTTTGATCTTTGTTAGCTGCTTCGCTCTTCTTCTTCGTCATCGGTGCTATAACAGAGAGGCGGAGGTTTGTTTTGAGAAAAATAATCTCAGGTCACAGTTTGAAGGGAATGCGCGAAAGAAGATTTAGGGTTTTTGGTTAAAGTCGTCTTTGTCCTTTTAACGATTATGGGCTTGAAATGTGGTAATGGGCTTTTTTGCTGTGAGTTCCGTTATGGGCCTACCTATGGGCCTACCTATAATAATTTTTTTTTCAAAAAAAAAAAGGAATAATAATGACACAAAAATTTAAAAATATTTAAGACATCAAGTAAAAAATAACATGTTGGACCGACACTCCTATGGGGTTTTACAAAACACGAGACCTTAAATTTTGATCATATGGTAAATTTATTTCAGAAATGCAGAATACAATATATTTAAAGAATTAAACGACATTACATGAAACAACTATATAATTATACAGGAGTTTCCATTTTTATATTGTATTAAACAACATATTTTCTCTGTACTGTATGTATGACTTTGCATCATATACGATTTAATATTCAAGCAGATATACTCTTTTAGAGACCAGAAGTAAATGGCACGAATGATGGAATCCAGGAGCCACCAGCAAGAAAGCTACCAACAGTGAACCTTGAAGCCTCTGAGGTAGAACGAAGGACT